CTATGACACTATGATTCATTTATGATTATTATTTATAAAAAAAATGCAATAATCATGGAGAAAATATTCAGTTAGCAGAATATTGGCATTTAAATTGATGTCTGGAAATTTTCTGGGGACCCTCCTTTGGTGTTTTGTGACATACAAAATGGTCCCGACCCCAACTTTGGGAACCATTGACTAGATTAGTTGATTTTATGGCCTAATGATGATTTTGGGCCATAATGATGATATTTTCCCTTATCAGAATGTTTCACATTTGTTTATGATGACAACTCACATTTTGCAAAAGCTCAAACTGTGTGGCTCAAATTAGATGTTATATTTGGTGTATTTGTTTGTAATAAAGGGCTTCGAGGCRGTGACGAGGCGACAAGGGAAGCACAAGCAGAGGGTCTGGCTGAAAATTTCCTCCAGTGGTTTAAAAATTGTGGATGAGAGAACAGGGGTGAGTGAACTGTCCCAGCTGCTATTTCATCAGTGGCAGCGCCACCTTCAGGTTCACATGACAAACTAAAACCTTCCTTTTATTATTTTCTTTATAAACACACAAAAAGAGATTTTTAACTGAACGATTCTATGAACTTTCAAAGTAAATCAAACTTTAACAATTCTGTGGAAGAAAAACACGTTTTGACAACTTATTTTTTCTATTTTGTGACTTAGAAGCAGTGACATCATACAGTAACTTACATTATTCAGTTTTCTTCAGACACACAACAGGTCACGTATTATTGAACTGCAATTTCTCTCTTTTACATGTTTTGTTGCATTTAGTTTAGTGGATAAAAGGCAGAAAAATTTAAAGCTAAAGCAGAAAATCCATTTCCTCTTTGCTTTTTAAAATAAAAGCACAACTCCTCTTGCTCTCATAAACATTTTCTATTCTCCCAGTGTTTTCACAGTTATAAATATAAAAATCTAAAAGCAACAACGTCTGTACATTCCTGCTTTTCAGCTTGTTGTTTATGAGCACGACAGAAACAGGATTAGCTCTCCGACGAAAGATGGGTTCGACCCCAGAGCTCTGGCCTACATCTACCAATACAAAGACGCCTACGTTCTCTTCTACATCAAGATGGCCTGCCAGGTGAGGAAGACCTGAAAAAAGTCCTGCTTCATGTTTTACCACATMTACACAGGCGTAATTTAAAATAATAACTTGTATTGTAGTTGTTCTAATGCTGAATCCTGTTTTTATGTCACTTTACCATCTTCTCTGAAGATATATTATTGTTTTATTTATRTCCATCAGGCAGATCCGGTCCTTCTAGACATAAAGGAAGTTTGCCAAGAAGTCCACCAAGAAAACTCCAACACATCTACAGAAACCCAAGTCAGAAAACAGCTCGTGTTTATTTTTTGTCGGTCTAATTTATTCACTTTGTTTGATTTCAAAACTCTTTTTTTTTTCAGAACATTTCATTAGTTGTTCTAAATGAGGCTTCAGCCGCTCCACCTGAGGTAGTCGAGCTTTTTAAAATTTGCGTCTGTGGATGGTTTAACGATGGAAGTCACAGAAAAGTTGTTGTGTTTCAGGGAGCAGCTCTTGAAGATTTGTTCAGTCCACAACCCGAGCCGTCATCATCATCACCTTCGTCATCATCYGGACAAACAAACCAGGCTAGTTGTGTCTCAGATTTATAAAATGTCTTTTAAAACGATTTAAACAAAGAGATCTTGTTATGATTTGCTTTCCTTGAAATCACCCCACAGACAGATTGAAACTTGCTGGTGTTTTAATGCGGTTAAAAGACATGTTCCTGTGTTTCTGTCTGCAGGTTTCTGTAAATACCGAGTTGATGGAAGTGTTTTCACCTCAGCTGGAGCAGCCTCTGCCCCCCTCTCAGATGTCTTGCATCAGTCAGCCTGGTTAGTGATCAGATCACCCTTAGAGTCTGACTGACATAAAAAGCAGGGGTTTTTTTTGGTGCAACTTCTGCACTTGTTTGGACAAATTTATCTGCAACAAAATTATGAAAGTCCACTTAAGTCTTGTGTAGATTGTTGCTATAAACCAGAAAACAGTCAGCGTTAAAGACAAAAWGAAAACACAAACTCAGGAGACAGCAGTGGACAGGTGGGAAGTGAAAATTTTAGGATGGCAGTCAGTTCTTGTAAGAACTGTAGTAGAGTTCAGTCTGTAGCTGTGCATTATGTTCAGTCATCCTTTTTTATTTATTTATTTT